AGCAAGGCTGTGCAAATAAGAACCCAGATTTTTCCTGCTCTGAAGCTGTGGACTGTGTTATCTCTCCGTTCCTGTGTTCTTTCTGCATGAATAATATCCACATTAATACCCTCATATATGAGCTCATGAAAAAGTTCTTTAGCCCTTTCAATGGACTGGACAAAAACCAGAACAGGTGGATTGAAACCCTTTTTAATAAATTCTCTCATGGCCAGTTTTCCAGCCTCAGACCCAACAAAGAGAAGCTCTTGTTCTACAGTCTCTACTGCAGAATTCCTTGCACCAATGGATACAGTGATGACATTGTCCAGGTAGAGTTTGCACCACTGTTCAACATCATATGCAAAAGTTGCACTGAACATAGCTCTTCTGACCTGGTGGGATGTGCAGGCCAGGACAATGGAAGCCAGCTGATCTCTAAATCCAGTTTTGCCATCTTCAAACAGTTTGTCTGATTCGTCTACTACCAGCCACTCAACACTTGTTAAATCTACTCCTGGTGGATCTTGCTTTAATAAATAAATTAGTCGATTTGGAGTAGTCACAAGAATATCAAACTTAGGTGATTTAGGTCCAAATTTCTTGGCTGCCTCTGCTGCTTTGTGGATCATGTGTATCCTAAATCCCATCCCCTCAGAGATTTTAATTAACTCTTGGTGAATCTGTCTGGCAAGTTCTCGTGTTGGGGATATAATCAGCGCTCTGAAGCCTTTATTTGTGGGCTGTTTCAGCTGCATTAAAATGGGAATGCTAAAAGCCAAAGTCTTCCCAGATCCTGTAGGAGCAGAAGCCAGAAGTTCCTGACCATGCAGCATAACTGGAATGGCTTGCATTTGGATTGGTGGTGGCATTTGGAAGCCTGCATCTAGGATGTTCTGAAGCAGTCGAGAATTAATTTTATATTTCTGGTCAAGTTGCTGCAATGTAGCAATTGGGTCAGGAAGATCAGTTCCTTGGATATGAATTTTGTGTTTATTCAGGGAGAAGTTTACCTTTTCTTTTCGGAGATGTTCCAACTTCCCCGAAGTTAATTTATTTTCTCCTTTAACTTTTTTATCTTCAATCTTTGCTTCCACAGATGACATCCACTGTATAGTAGTACCTTCTTCTTGAGAAGAAATTTCATGCCAGAAGTTCCCTGGTTGTGGCATGGTGTCGGGGAGGACCCATGAAATAAAAAGGTGGATTTTGTCTGAAATTATCTTCTTTCTCTTTTTCTTGTTTGGCTCCCTCTTTTTTTCAGTTAGGCTCTCTTCATTTTGGAGCTCCTCGAGTGTTTGTGTTGCACCACACTCACTTGGGACAGACTTCCTGTTTCCAAAGAAGTCTAGACTCTGCAGAATCTCTGAAGAATCAGAACCATGTTTCCTTTTTCCTATCTGGAATCGAGCTGCGTTGGCTGAGAAGCGTTTCACGTCAAATTTGGCCCCAGCGCCTAGCCGGCGAAACAAATCATGAACATCCATTTCTACCCAGAAATCTTCGTGCCGTCTGTTTTTGGTTTTTTTGAGACAGCGTCTCACTATGTAGTTGAGACTGACCTGGAACTCACTATTTAGCCCAGGCTGGTCTCGAATTCACAATGAGTCTCCTGCCTCAGCCTCCTGAGTGCTGAGATTACAGGCATGTGCCACCATGCCCAGCTTCTCCTCATTTAAATTGTGGGTGTGGGGGGCTGGGGATTTAGCTCAGCGGTTCCGTGGCCTGCTTTGCAAGTGCAAGGACCTGAGTTCAATCCCCGGCACCAAAAAAAGAAAAAAAAATTGTGGGTGTGGGATAGGTGCCTTAGTGATGAGAAAGTAAGAACAGATTGTGGTATCAGAGAAGTGGGGTTTTTGCAGTGACACTACCTGACCATATGGCCTTTGAAACTGGCTTGCAGAAGGAGTTTGGAAAGGTTTGGAGATGCCAGATGCAGAAGGAGCCCTAGAAAGCTGTTTGCCAAGCTTGATGGGAGATTCTGGTTGGAGCACAGAGGACCAGAATGTTGGCTATAATGCAGCTGGAAAAGACCAGGCTTAAGAAGCTTCAGGTGGAAAGGACTCCGATGACAACTGCATTTCAGGCCATGTGTATTATCTTCTGGCAAGCATCTTGCTCATGTCCAGACTTTGTGGAAGACTGAGATTAAGGGCTGCGGACTGATTAACCTGGCAAGGGGATTTCAAGGCAGCCAAACATTCAGGCTTGGGTACTGATGGGGGCTTTTAGCCAGCTCTATATTAAGAATCAAGAGCAGAATGCCCAGCAGAATGATTTAAAAAGTTTTGAGTTTGGCCAGAAAGGAAGTTCTGGTTAAAGTTGGGGCCTGCAAAGATGGAGCAAGGCAGATAGGGGTTGCTGAAAAGATTAGCATTAAAAAGAAGCCAAGTAAGATGAGATCCCAGTTGTTTATTCTTTCTGCTAGTTCCCATGCTACTGAGGATTTGTTCATAAAATCTTTTCCTATGCCAATGTCTTCAAGAGTTCTGCCTAACTTATCTTCCAGCAAGTTTAGTGTTTCTGTTTTAATATTTAGATCTTTAATCCACTTGGATTTTAATTTAGTGCATGGTGAAAGATAAGGGTCCAGTTTTAATCTTTGGCAGGTTGAGATCCAGTTTTTCCAATACCATTTATTTATTTTTATTTTATTTTTGGTACCAGGGATTGAACTCAGGTCCTTGTACTTGTGAAGCAGGTGACAGAACCACTGAGCTAAATCCCCAGCCCCTCAACACCATTTATTAAAGAGGCTATCTTTCCTCCATTGAGGATGGTCAGCTCCTTTGTCAAAGATGACATAGCTGAGTATGTCTGGATTTGTTTTTGTGTCTTCCAATCTGTTCCACGGATCCTCAGGTCTGTTTCTTTCATATTACAGAGATATATGTGCACCTATGTTTATAGCAGCACAGTTTGTAATAGCTAAAACTTGGAAACAGCCCATTTGACCATCAGTTGGAAACTGGATAAAGAAGATGTGTTTTTTCTATAAAATGGAATATTACTCAGCCATAAAGAATGAGAAATTAAAGAGCAAGTAGCAATTTAAATATGTTCAAGGACCATTTTCATCTTCAGAATTAAGGATTATTTTAATTTTTTTTTTTGGTACCGGGGATTGAACTTGGGTCCTTGCACTTGCAAGGCAGGCCACCAAACTGCTGAGCTAAATCCCTGGCCCTAGGATTATTTTAATTTTACACCATTGCTTTTTCTCTTTTACTTTCCTTTGTAGTTTTATTTTAGGAATCCTTATTTTTAATGTTCACACAGAGATTTCTTTTACTGAAATACCGAACAGTTTCTCTGGTGTGAAAAAACTATAATAGTACACAGGATCCTAATGAGATAATTAATAATGTGAAATAGGAAGTAAAGGGCTAAAGGTGTAGGGAAAGTGGGAAGGGTGGGGTAAAGGTAATAAGGGAGAGGAAAAAATATGAGAAAATGAAAAAATGGCGAGGGGAGGAGGGGTGAAGGGAGGGCAGGGATATGGGGAAAAATGAGAACCAAGACCTGTCATGTAAAGGTACAGGATCCCAATAATGAATGTAACTGTATTGTACACCTAGAATGTACCAATAAACTCAATAAAAAGAATGAGAAATTAGATTCATTCATAGGAAAATGGATACATATTGAGGATATACTCCTAAGTGAAATATATAAGTCACACATGTATAAATACTGAATAGTTTCTCTGGTGTGAATAAACTATAACAGTACATAAGATCCTAATGATATAATGGACAATGTGAAATAGGAAGAAAGGGGCTAAAGGTGTAGGGAAAGTGGCAAGGGTAGGGGAAAGATAATAAGGGAAAAGAAAAAAAATATGAGAAAATGAAAAAATGAAACTGAAGTGTTTGTAAATGGGAAAGGGACGAGAGGGTGAAGGGAGGACAGGGACAAGGGGAAAAAATGAGAACCAAGACCTGTCATGTAAAGGTACAAGATCCCAGTGATGAATGTAACTGTACTGTATACCTAAAATGTACCAATAAACTCAATGAGGAAAAAAAAAGTAGCAATTTACTTTGGAATAGGACAACAGGAAAAATATCTTGAAGGAAAGTGAGGAACCAGCAATGCTACACTCTTTGCGGCCTCAAAATTGCAAAGGTAAAGACTTTACTTTGAGAAGATAGCCCCAGGGTACCACGCTGCAGATTGGCAGCAGCCTAGGGACTAAGAATTAATTTCCCCTGATTCAGTTCACCAAGCTCAGCCATTCAGGCACTCAGAGGCCTTTGCACCCACCAGCAAGATGCAAAAGGGCTCAGCTATTGCTCCAGTTGGTGGCAGACCTTGGTATCATTCACATGGTGTTGGTTTTAGGCATACGCAGAATGGAAGAGTTATAGGCACAGGGAGGCTTCCACCCAGATTTAAGACCACCTGGGAGGCCAGGCAGTGTGCCCCTGAAAGTACCGTGCAGACCCCAGGAGTTGGAAATGCCAGGAATGTAGAACATTTGAGGAAAGCCACAAGGAGTGAGCAATGCCAGCCCAAGAAGGAGGCCATGAGGGCTACAACCACAGAGTGCTATAAGAGTGGGGCCACCCAAGCTCTTTGGAGTTCACATCTTGACCACAGACTGCCCCAGGTGCTGGACAAGGAACTACAGGATGTATTTATTTATGTTTGTTTTTTTAGACAGGGTCTCATTATGTAGTTTAGGCTGGCCTTGAACTCACTATGAAGTCCAGGCTGGCCTAAAGCTTGCAGTGGTCCTCCTGCCTCAGCCTACCAGTTGCTGGGATTACAGGTGTGTGCCACCATGTCTGGCAGAAATACAGGATTTAATGTTTGCCCTGTGGATTTGAGTATTGTTTTGGTCTCATTCTTTTCTATCTTCCTATTTCTACCTTTTGAAGTGGGAATGTTTATCCTGTGCCTTTGTATGTTGGAAGTGTTTTAACTTTATTTTTATAGGGGATTATAGGTAAGTATTTGCTTTAAATCTCAGAGGAGATTTTGGATTTAAGACTTTTTAGCAATGCTAAAATGGTCAGGACCTCAGCTACCCTTAGACATGGACCAAAAGCAATTTGCATAGAGATGCACCTAAATCTTTTGGCAGCCAGGATGGAATGTTAAGGTTTATATTTAGATGTTCTCCCAAAGCTTTATCTGCTCACAGGTGGGGCTTTTGGGAGGTGATTGGATCATGAGAGCATGGTACTTATCAGTGGATTAGTCTACTGATGAGCTTATAGGTAAATGTGATACTGGGACGTAAAGTCTGGTGGAGAAGGTGGATCTCCAGGGTGTATCTCCCTTCTGTCTGTATTGATCACTCTCTGCTGCTGCTGCTACTTTTCTTTTTTGGTACTGGGGACTGAACTCAGGACCTTGTGCTTACGAGGCAGGTAGTGGCACCACTGAATCCCCAGTTACTCTGCTTCCTGACTGCCATGCCATGAGCAAGCCTCCTCTATCATGTTGCCCTGCCTTGTAGCCAGCCAACTATGGACTGAAACCTCCACAAACTGTGAGCTAAAATAAACTTCTGTTCTTTAAGTGGTTGGTGCCAGGAATTATGTCCCAGTGATGAGAAAGTAACTAAGACAAGAAATTTTAAAGATGTTTCAGGAGAACAGTTTAAAATAGTTAAGACAGGATATAATCAGTTTATATATTTGCTAGAAAGATATTAACACACAGGTTACCTGCAGCAATTTCTTGGTTAAGAAGCTGGGCCTGCAAACTGAAGATCTGTTCCTGTATTTTGCTGTGTGATAGTTTCAGCTTCTCTCGCCTGCTTATCATGTAGCACAGATTTCGGACCTGAAAGGCCAATCCCCAGCAAATAGACAGATTTGTAATGTTAAGCAAACTTGACAAGTGAAATTGTTTAGCTAAAATGAAAATGACTAAGATCAGGTAGGGGTGGGTGTGAGGAGAGAGACAGGACCCAAGAGCTGCAGGCTGAGACCCACTCCACAGGAATTCACTCAGCACAGTTAATCATGGGGGGCATGGTTCCTGTAATAACCAGAGGCACAAAGCTGCCTTCTGAAATCTACTCTCCCTGCAGTGTCATGGCATCAGTATTTATGTGCACAGACAGGCTGGGAAAACAGAATGATGGTCTAACAATTCAATCTTCCCTTTAGTACAAATGACAGCAATGCTGGCTCCACTACAATTTTCCAATGAGAACAGCAGAAGAAAAGTCTGCTGGGAAAACTCGAAGTGGCTTTTTGCTCACACTTTCAGTTTAGCCACATTTCCACAGCTACAAGTATGAAGTTCTTACTCATACTCCTTAATTGGACAAATTATTCAATCTTTCTGTGCCCCATCTGTAAATAGGGATAAAAAAGTTTTTCATAGCATATTAGGATTAAATGAATATTCCATTAGTTCTTTTTCAAATTTTGGTAGTAGGCACAAAACATTAAGCCATTTCTATAATTATAAATTTCTCCAAGGCAAACATAGCACCTAACTTATCACTGAACTCCTGTAATACCTCAATTAATAGATACCTGATAAATATATCTTGGTATATAAATATCTGGTAGAGTGGCTCTCAACCAGGGACTATTTTGATCCCCAGGGGGCATGTAGCAATTTGGAGACTTTTTTGGTTGTCACAATTGGGTGGGTATGGGCAGCACTATTGGTACCTAGTGTGTAGAGGCCAACAATACTGCTATAAACATCTTACAGTGCCCCCTCCAACAAAAGGCAGCACCCCACAACAAATAATTATCCAGCCCAAAATGTCAACAGTACCAAACATGAAAAACAGAATTCATTTACTGCTGCTAGCAGTTTATCACTAAAACATAGCTGAGCCAATCTAGGCTCAACAGTGAATAAAATATAAATCAAATGAGGATTTATTTTAAATTTCTAGTTCAAAGCATATATGTGAGGCCTCTCCAATCTCTGCACAATGCCTCTGAAAATTTAAACAGAGGTCAATGTTTGGGGCCACTGTGAAATCATAAGATAAGCAGAGACACAGAAGCCCACACCAAGCTGAGCTGAGCTATTTTTAAACTGGAAATAACCTCCATTTGTACACAGATAAGATCTACTCAGTAACCAGAACCCATCACCTTACCCTTTCTAGGTCCTGCCGTAGGTGCATAAACATTTGCATGCGAGTATGAATACTTTCTTCTTTGGGCTGTACAAGGCCATTTTCTTCATCCTTCTTTGGAGGAAATAATGGCTTGTTGAAGTTGCTTTTGCGCTTTAGTTTCCAGTAGTTATAGATAAAGTCCACAACTAGTGTGGGCAGCTCCAGCTCTGCTGCCACATCTTCCACTCGGACCAAGGTGTAGAACTCCTCCTCCAGCTCCCTAAGCTTCTGTTCCCGCAGGCTGGTTTTCTCACTTTTGGCCTGGCTCTGCTCAGCAGCTCTGTGGTGAGGGTACTCAATCTCCCCCTGTTTCTGCTTGTTTTGGCTATGCTTGAGGCAGTAAGACTTGAACTTTACTTCATCCCCCTCGTCTAGGATGGTCTTCATCTCTAGGCTGTGCTCAAAGGCACAGGTGACATGGAAGGCAGTGATGCAGCTTTTCACGGAGCACTGCAAGAAGAAAGGCTGTGTCAAGACAACATGGTTGTGGAGTTGTGGGGGAAGACAGGGGAAGCTCTATGTCTCTGAGCTTAAACAGAACTTATAGGAAGCAAAGGTTGGTCCTAAATTAACTATGACAAATGCTTTATTTGTAATACAAGAAATCTGCTCCTGCAAAAACAGGAGTAAAAAATATCAAACTACTCCTTTAAGGTTTGAGCTCAAACATTAAAAGCCTTCAGCTTTTCTGAGAATCCTTTCTGACTTACAGTTATGTCATCTCTTCTCTGGGTCTACCACATCACCCTATACATTCTTCTATAGTGTTACTTTTCACACTGTACTTAAAGCATAACTCTCAAATCCTTGGCCACAGATTTCCTCCCTCGCTTTTATCAGGGATCAAACTCAGGACCTTGTACTTGCAAGGCAGGTTCGGTGCCACCTTGACCATAGATCTTAAAGACAAAAGCTGTGTCATTTATTTTGGCATTGCCATCAACTACTGAACAAGCAGTTGCTCAGAAAATACTTCTGAACAAATGAAAGAAAAAGCAATATTACTGCCAGAGTATGCACTGGTTCTTTAAAAATAAAATCACAGGAACTCCAATGTCTTAAGTAAACTGACCTCTTGAAATTGTTCCTTTTTTCCTCATTGAATTTATTGGTACGTTTTAGGTATACAGTGCAGTTACATTCATCATTGGGATCTTGTACCTTTACATGACAGATCTTGGTTCTCATTTTTTCCCCTTGCCCCTACCCTCTGTTCACCCCCTCTTCCCTTCCCTATTTACAAATACTTTATTTCCATTTTTCATTTTCTCATATTTTTTTATTTTGCCTTATTTCCCTTCCCCTACCCTTCCCACGTCCCCTACACCTTTAGCCCTTTTCTTCCTATTACATACACATTGTTGAAACTGTTCTTATAGAGCTGAGCTCCCAATACCTTAGCCAGCTAACCAGCCATGAGTGGCTTTTTAAATTTAAATTTATTAAAATTGGACTGAGGAGTATAGTTCAATGCTAGAGCACTTAATGCACAGCCCTGAGTTTAATCGCCAGTACCACACAAAAATCAATTAAAATTACATGCATTGAAAAATTTATTATTTATTTATTTACTTTTGCGGCAGGGTTTTGCTATGTAGTTCAGGCTGGCCTTGAACTATGTATCCCAGGCTGGCCTCGAACTCATGCAATCCTGTCTCAGCCTCCCAAATGCTGGGATTACAGGTGTGCACCACCATGCTCAGCTTTACATTGAAAAATTTAGCTCTCAGTCACACTAGCTACATTTCAATCATACTGGACAGTGCAGACACATTATCCATCACTGCAGAAGTTCTCCTGGACAGTATGGTTACAGATATTCTGAAATTAAGTTTATAATAGTCTATCATTCATATATTTAACACATTTATTTGACATTACAGAGGACAACAGCCTCTACTCCAAGCTTCAGACAATTTTACTGGAAGTTTGTTACATTACAATGAAATTTATATCATTCAAATTTCCATATATTTGACAAGCTTTATGAAAGCAGGTATGATGAAAACCCAAGACATGCTTTTATCTAAGTACTTTTTAGTATCACTTGCCTAACAGGCAGACATTTAAAAAAAAAGTAGTAAAACGCATTATTATTTTTATTTCTGTGTGAAACAGGGTCTCATTATGTAGTTAAGCCTGTCCTTGAACTCACTATACAGCTATGCAGTCCAGGCTGGCCTCAAACTCATGGCAATCCTCCTGCCTCAGCCTCCCAAGTGCTGGGATTACAGGTGTGCGCCACCACACCCAGCTAAAAATTTTAATGTATATTTTTGTGAAACATAGTAATTACATTCCTCTTGGGAAGCTGACACGCATACGTATTTGCATCTTGATCATTTGTACTCCCCCTTCCCCAGCCTGTCTTCCCCTCCTTTCCTAGATCCCTTTGCCATCTCCACATATTCTATCTCCTTGTTTCTTAGTAAAAGGCATTATTTAATAAAAGATAAAAAATGTTGGGCATAGTGTCTGTTTTCACTTTAATAACAGATACAAATATGGGAGGAAAAAACAAAAAGATTTTCTATTCAAGGGGATAAAAGTGTGACATAAAATTACTACCAGAGCTGGGCATGGTGGTGTTTTGCCTGTAGTTCCAGCTATTTGAGAAGTTGGGGCAAGAGGATCAGGAGTTTGAGGTTAGCCTGGGCAACACACTGAAACTGTCTGAAAGGCAACCAATCACAGGGCACGAATACACATGCCTGTAATCTCAGCATCCCAGGCTGAAGCTAGAGGATTCTTACAAGTTCGAGGACAGCCAGAAATGATAGCAACACCCTGTCTCAAACAACCAACCAACCAACCAACCAACCAAACAATCAAACAAAAACCAAAGTACTAGCAGTAGGAGGTACTAGTAAACTCTCTCAGGTCAAATTTATAGAATATGGAGACATACATATGAATAACTCAGAAGAAAATACAAAGATAAGAATTAGGTACTTATATGAAAATTGAAATGTGTCTTAGAAAACTCTGCCATAAGATCCATCTAGTTTCAGAAAACATGATTCTATGGTACCATACCCCAGCTATTATGCCACTCTTACACAATTCCCTCCCCTCTCATTTTCTTTTCTCCATTCGTTGGTTTTTAGAAACAGAGTCTTGCCATGTATTTCATTCAGGCTTGCCTTGAACTCATTATGAGGCCTCAAACTCAAACCTCCTTTCTCAGCCTCCCAAGTGCTAGGATTATAAGCATGCACTACCACATTCAGCTAAAAATTTGTTAAAATTATTTTCTAATTGAAATAATACTGTTCAACTGTGGTGAGTACTTTTAAAAATAGCTTTTATACATGTGTCTTTAAACACTTTACTACATGTGTTACCATGTGGTCATCACTCGTAGTTACTGAAATAACACAAAAATCCTCAGCTTTACCGAGACATAATTTACATACCACAAAATTCACCAGTTTTAAATGTACATTTCAATGGTTTTCAGTATATGGATAGTTGTGAGGCCACCAGCACTACCTAATTCCAGAACATTTTCATCACTGCACAAAATAGATCTCATGCCCATTTATAGTTATTCCTGTTCTCATCTCTGGCCCTAAGCAACAAGTAATCAACTCTGTCTCTAGATTTTCCCATTCTGGACATTTCATATAAGTGGAACCATATAAGATGTGGCTGTTTTCTTTCACCTAGCATGTTTTTAATATTCCTGTGTTTCAGCAAGTATAACTTTAATCTGTTTATAGCCAAAAAATATACTCCATTGCATAGATATACCCCATAAATTTATCCATTCATTAGGTGATGGACATTTGAGTGTTTTTCATTTAGAGGTTATGAAATAATGGTGCTATGAAAATTTGTGAAGTTTTTCTACAGATCAATGTTTTCATATCTCTTGAACAGTGTGCAGTAAAGGACTGATCTTGTCCAAAGAAAGGTTTGGGCCTTTGGCTTCAGCTCCTGAGAGGTAACCTCTAAGCCTTTGGAATGTCCTGCTCAAGAGTTGTCTTTGTTTACCTTGAGGCCTTGGGCCAAGTCAATTAGTCTATACTAACAACGTGATTTATGGTGGGGGGTTTGGGCCATGTGGTAGCAGCTTGATGTCTGGAAGAACATGAGATTAAGGCTAGCCATTTGGCAGATCAGTTGTGTCTACATGTCAACCTCCAATAACATGTCTGACACCAAAGTTTGGTTGAACTTTTCTGGTGACAATACTCTGGTTTATCGCTTCACATTATTGGAGGGGCAATTGCTGGGTGAGGAGGAGTGGAAGCTACACTGCTGAACTTTCCTGAACTATGCTCTATGTGTCTCTTTCCTTACCTGATTTTTTTTTGTACTGGAGACTGGATCCAGGGGCTCATGCATGCTAGGCAAGTGTCCTATCACTGAACTATTCCCCTAGAGCTTTAAAACATTTTTATTTTGAGATAGGGTCATGCTAAGTTGTTCAGGCTCTCTGTGAACTTGCAATCTTCCTGCCTCAGCCTCCTGAGTAGCTGAGATTATTGGTATGCACTCACCCTGTCAGGCTCCTTACTGACTTTCTTTTTTTGAGACAGGGTCTTGCTAGATAGTTCAGACTGGCCTTCAACTCACTATGTAGCCTAGGCTGGCCTTGAATGCACAGCAATCCTGCCTCGGCCTCCTGAGTGGTGGAATTATAGGCCTGCCTGGCTCCTTAGCTGATTTTAAATCTGTATTTTTACTGTAATAAAACTAACTGTGAGTATAATGGCTTTTTAGCATTCTTAGAGTCCTTCTAGTGATTTATTGAACCTAAGGGTGAAACTGCTGCCTCATAAGGTAACTAATTCTATGTTGAATGTTTTGAGAAACTGCCAAACTGTTTTCCACAACAGCTGCATCATTTCCCACTTCTACTGCCAATACACAAAGATTTCAATTTCTCTATATCCTTGCCAGCAATTATTACTATTCTTACTATTGCTACCCCAGTAGTTATGAAGTAGTATCTCACTGTGGTTTATTTATTTCTAAAGGGGGAAATAATTTCCTACATATTCTTTAGTAATTGTACAGAAGACAGATATCTAAAAACACATTCATTAAAGGGAAAATACTACCCTTACTCATGCATGTTTGTAAGCAAAGTTGCTGTGGGATGGGGATGGGACCAGATAGGGTAGATGGAATAAAATTCTTGAAAAAGAACACCAGAAACCGATCTAGGAATTAAGATATTTATTTTTCCTTTTAAAGAGATACTGGGCCATTCCCAAACAAAACAGCATGTGCTTCTCAAGAACAGATAATACCTGCCTGGAACAACAAATTCCTGGTACATGTTCTCAGCAGCTCTTGTCCTGCCACAGAACAATGTCCATTTCATTGCCTTAATCCTCAATAATCCATACAGACAAATGGTTAGTATGAGAAAAATTTGCTCAAAACTTAGTGACAGAAACATTGTTATAAACAGTCCAAGCTAGCTTACAAAACTCATCCCGGTCACTGTACACTTGAACGATAGCACCAAAGTCACTACCTGATCATTCATCCCTAAGGACTTGCAGGTCTAAGAGAAGATGTCATTACAGTGTTGGTAACTTTTCCTGTGTTTATATCTGGCTTCCCATAACATACTGTGAACTCCTGAAGGCAAGGATGAGAACTGTCTCAGAACAAGAACAGTTTGTACCGACAAAATTTGAAATATATGAAAAAATATTCAGAACTTTCTCTTTTTTCATGGGAGAGGAAGGGGGTATTCTTTTAGCATTTCTTTTTTTCTCCATTATCCCACCTGAGCAGATATACTTGTTTACTTACCATTTCCCTACTTACTGCAGATTTTAATTTGTTTAAAAAAATTTTTTATAGTCTAACTTTTATTAGACTAACAGTAAACTCATGGTGGCCTATCAATTTACCCTGACTTCAGTATAATTGTATGGGACTTTGGACTGATCCTCTTCTGCTTTCTATCTAAGCCCCAAATATTTGATTATTCTATTAAATGTGGCTGGATGAATGCTAGTGCTTCCCATTAGAAAAGCAAGATTGACTCTAGGGAACAATAAAATGAACAATAAAAACAACTACTACTACTAGTGTCAATAACAATGAGTATCTACTGTTAAGCCCTGTGCTAAGCTCTTCACTATTTTTGAGTGAGTACTATTAGTACCTTCATGCATAGATATGGAAACGGGCCTAAAGATGTTGGGTAACTTTTTCAAGCCAGTATAATCAGGAGGTGGAATCAGGGTTTGAATTCTAGAAGTCTGGCTCCAAAGACCACACTTTTTTTTTTTTTGTACTGGGGATCAAACTCAGGACCTTGCACCTGTGAAGCAGGCAGTGGAACCATTGAGCTAAATCCCTGGACCTTAAGGCCACATTCTTAACCATTCTTTCCTTCCTCTCAGGAAGGCCTAAAGCATCTGGATCTAGGTTAAATGGGACTTGAACATAAAAGATACAGAAGGACCCTACAGGAATTCTAAAAATCTGGCAATTAGAGATACTGTGACCAGGGCCTAGGTAAAAGTTTAGGGCTGCCTGGTACACCTGATTTGAATTCAGACTTTAAGATCTGCTCCAAGATTATCAGAAACCTTTGTGATCAGGCCAAAGGTTAGTTTCTGTTTCCAGACATGCAAAATGTAGATATTAGCTGGTGTTAGGTTCTATTCTTGCCCAGTGGATACTCCCAGCTTAAAAAAGTATGGTGGGTATTTCCACTGCCAAGAGAGAGGAAGCCAGAATAAACATAATTCACAGATGGTTATTATATCCCACACATTATTCCTTTTCATAGCATGTATCACCTCTAGCTTCTACAGTGCCATTTAATATCTATTGCTTATTATTTACTTTTGTAACTAAAATATAAACTCCATTGTGCAAGGTTCTCCATTCATTTATCAATAACCCAAGCCTTGTACACAATCAGGCATAAATATTTGTTGAATAAATTGTAATTCCTTATCATCAAAAGCTGGAAGTGTAGTTCAGTGGGCTTGCCTAGAATACATGAGGCCCTGGGCTGGATGCCAGCAGCACACATGAACAGAAAGTTTAAAGAATTTCCATTTGGTTAGACCTTTACAAAATGAAGAATCTGAACTCTGAGCAATGAAAATAAAAACCAAGTGAGAAACTTCCTCCAGAACGCATCATCTATTCATTTGTTCATTTGTTATCTATCTGTTAATCTAGTATTTGTCTGCCTACCATGTCTACTCTGGTGTGGGGTGAATCTAAGGATGAAACAGTATAAGTCTGCTCGAGAAGATAAAACTCACAGATGAATTACTATAATAGAAAGTAAAATGTGGTGTTACAGTGCTGTAATGCAAACCCAGGTCTGCTAAGGTCAAAGCTAATGTTTTCTCTCATCATAGTCATGTTGTCAATTATCAACCTATGTAAAATAATGTTTCAAGACAGCAAAAATCAGAGGAAAATGCAAGTACTACAATGGGGAAAATAATTAAATCACTGGTTACAAATTCAACGTCTATTATAAAATGATTATTATGAAAACATGGAAAACATTTTACTTTTTAGTGGTGAAAATACATATCAAAGACAAATCTATGGTACCATAAAAATGGATGTACAGTATTTACTCAATAAACACAGAGTGTTAACAATAAGCAGGTACTTTACTTCATACCAGAGGAAATTTACAGAAGACTGATACACAATCTTAGTCCTTAAGGGGTTCACATATGGGGAGCAGCTATGACAGAACTTACGATGCATTAGGGTAGTAGACCCCAGAGGAAGTTTTCCTTTATAATGGTTAAAGTGCTACGGTTAAGATAAATAAAATCAGTCAAAAAAAGGTTTATAAAAATCAAGGGAAGTATTTGATTTTGTCAGATGATGAACATGAAACATGTCATGCCAGAGCCTCACAAAACACCTACAGCCACTGGCCTATGACATTATATGGCCCCTGCCCTGTGAAGGTCAGTACCCAAATTGAATTTCTACTAGCCTATAGCTAACATGCAAAATGTCTGAGGAGTAGATGGGTCAGTCCTTTCTTCTTTCTTGCCAGCAGAGCCGCTGCATTACATAAAGTTTGGAACAGAAAGTGAAACGAAGGTGAGAGTGGTAGCACATGCCTGTAATCCCAGTACTCTTGGAGGCTGAGGCAGGAGGATGCCAAGTTCAAGATTAGCCTGTGTAACTTAGTGAATTAGCAAGACCCTGTTTCAAAATAAAAAAGGGCTAGGACGTAGCTCAGTGTGAAGGCCCTGGGTTCCATACCCAGTACCACACACAAACAAAAGTGAAAGGACATTATGGAAAGCGAGATTATAAAGAGTCAATTTTTGTGCCTTTGCTTGAGGTAATTGGCCTTTCCCAGTCTTACCTACATGCCCCCTTCCAGCTTTTACTAATGGGTACCACATCAGCTACCACTACTACTTTAAGCAGCTGAATTCCTGTGCCCTAGGTGTCCCAGGAAACTTTACTTGCACTACCATACACAAGAAATGCACCTGTAAGAATGAGTTTCAAAACTTGCCACTAGAACTTATCCATTCAAATGTATTTTTCTCTACTAGAACTGTTAAACCAGCAAAAGCCCAGCAACAGGGCTATCTATCCATCAAATTGTCCTGGATTTTAAATCCATTTAGTTAGTAGGCGAGCCACATAAAAACATGGCTGCTTGATTTAGGAATTACAGCTTATATCTACTCAGGGTGGTATAATCTGGCTTCAGGGGTAGGTTAATTTATCATCTCTGAAAACAAGGGATGGAGATTATCACTGAATACTTTTTGAGACAGGGTAACTTTGTTGCCCAGGCTGGCCTTGAACTCTTGGGCTCAACTGATCCTTCTGTCTTAGTCTCCCGAGTAGCTGAGACTACTGGCACATACCACTACAGTCCACATAAACCATCATGAATATTGAAAATAATAAGCTGAACAGTCCAGAAGCAACATCCAAAAAAGGGATTTCTAGAAATGGCTTGTATAATGTTTTTTTTCCTCTCATTGGGTTTATTGGTACATTTTAGGTATACAGTACAGTTACATTCATCATTGGGAGCTTGTACCTTTACATGACAGGTCTTGGTTCTCATTTTTCCCCTTGTTCCTGCCCTCCCTTCACCCCCTCCTCCCTTCCCTATTTACAAATACTTTGTTTCCATTTTTTCATTTTTCTCATATTTTTTTCTTTCCCCTTATCACCTTCCCCCTACTCTTCCCACTTCCCCTGCACCTTTACAATGTTAAGAGTCCTAGGCATGAGTGGGAAGAATTTTGAATGGCTTTTTGGTTAACAAGACATTACAGACGTTAAATCTAGCCACTATGGTTTTAACTCACTCCACAATTTCTCATGAGGACTTACCTGAATACAAGCCCCTGTCTTCAACTTGCACAGGCTGCAAACTAAGGCCCACCGGCTAGGTGGGATGTGGGAGAGCTTCGTGATTGGTTCCATCCTCTCAGGACAAGCAATACTGACCTATAAGTAAAACACCACCATGAGGCAGAGGCACCAAGGCATCTCAGAAGTACCTTTCACAAACCATAAATAATGTTATGTGAAGCTCCAAACATCAAAACAATGAGGAAAATCACATATTTTAAGGTTAATATGGAACCAGGAATAAAAGAAATCTGTCTCTATCCAACATTCAGTCCTTCAATCATTTCCAGTAATGTGAAGGATTCCTATAGAGGACGAGAGACTAGGCATGGCTACCTTAATGATTCAAAGATATCTATTCAAAGAAAGCTACAAATAATTTAATTTCACAGAATCTAGCATCTGTTGGACATTAGAAGTAGTGCCACATGATTTGTTATTTCATTTAATCACTTCAGGATAAAAACAGGCAGTGATAAGTCTTTACAATGGGTTTACAAAGAAGTACAATATTGTTGGAAATTAGCAGCAAATTTATGTAATGAAGAGATTGCAGTACGTAAGTAGAAAGGATGAGACTGACAACATTTCTAAACTAGAGTCTTTAAAACCATATAATTACCCTCAGCTTATTCTACTGCCTCAGCCAAAGTAAACTTCAAAGTGAAATTAAGTCTTTGGGAGAGTGCTGAAAGGAAAAGGATGCTTTAAAAAAAGACGGAAAACTGGGTGTGGTGGCTCACACCTGTAATCCCAGAATTTAGGAGACTGAGACAGGAGGACTGCCATGAGTTTGAGGCCAGCCTGAACTAATAGTGAGATCCTGTCTTGATAAACAAACAAAAAAAACAAAACAAAACAAAGGGGAAACATTCTTTTCCATGTGAAAATAAGGGTTTATGCAACTGCTGGTAAAAAGTATTTTCACTTTCTCTCCCCCATTGTTAGTATTTTCATTTTGTTTGTTTGTTTGTTTTTTGGTACCAGGGATCAAACTCAGGACCTTGTGCTTGAGAGGCAGGCGGCAGAACCACTGAGCTAAATCCCCTGCCTGTATTTTAACTTTTTAAAGGAATATGTTCATGTCTTTTTTGTGGTACAGGGAATTGAACCCAGGGGTCTTTACAATGAGCTACATCCCCAGCCCTTTTATTTAATTTTCCCATTTATTTATTTTTTCCATTAAGTTTACTGGTACATTTTAGGTAGACAATAGTTACATTCATCATTAGGATCTTGTACCTTTGCATGATGTATCTTGGTTCTTATTTTTTTTCTATTTCCCTGCCCTCCCTTCAATCCCTCCACCCTTCATCATACCACAGTGATATATGTGCACCCATGTTTACAGCAGCACAGTTTGTAATAGCTAAAACATGGAAACAGCCCAATTGCCCATCAACTGGAGACTGGATAAAGATGTGTGTTTTTAAAAAAACAAAACGGAGTACTACTCAGCCATAAAGAATGAGAAACTAGAGACATTTATAGCAAAGTGGATGCACACTGAAATACTCTTAAGTGAAATAAAGGGACACACATGTGTAAATACCCAATAGTTTCTCTGGTGTGAAAAATTAAAAGTGTAAATAAGGATTAAAATGTATAATAGATAATGTGAAATAAGAAAATGTCTAAAGGAGTAGGGGAAGTGGGAGAGGTAGGGGAAAGGAAAGAAGGGAAAAGAAAAAATATGAAAAATGGAAACAAAGTCCTTTTTATTTTTTGAGATAGAGTGTCACTAGGTTGCCCTGGCGGGATTCAAACTTGAAGTCGTCTTGTCTCAGCCTTTCAGAGTGCTAGGATTATAAATGTCCTCCACATCCAGCTACTCAAGACTTTCTAAGAGAAAACAACTTAGAAAAATGAAGAAGTGTCCAATAACAATGGTCAAACTAGTATAAGTTCTGTCCACATCAGGAAACAGAGGTCTAGAATAGTCCAAAAGGTACTGGAAACAAGAACCAGAAACCAAACATAGAGAATGTTGATAGCTGAGAAAGCTTATTTCAATTTTTTTTTGAGACAGGGTCTCACTATATAGTTGAGACTGACCTGGAACTCACTATGTAGCCCAGGCTGGTCTCAAATGCATAGCTGATCCGCCTGCCTCAGCCTCCCGAGTACTGGGATTACAGGCATGTGCCACCACGCCCAGCTAAGCTTACTGCAATTTTAAAGAACTCTTCCAGGGTCTTTTTTTTTTTGAGACAGGGTTTCACTACATAGTTCAGACTGCCCTGGCATTCACTGTGTAGCCCAGGCTTGTCTTGAACTCTCAGTGATCCTCCTGCCTCAGCCTCCCAAGTGCTGGGGTCACAGGCATGTGCCACGATCCCCAGGCAAGGGTCATGTTTTATGAGCTAAGAGAGCCTGTTCTATTAGCTGAGGGATATGCTTGCTGGTAACCAGCCATTCTCAGGTTAGAAAGCTGAGATCATTTTACATATTTATAAGATAGATTTCTAGAAAAGGAAACTACTACTCATTTTTAAAAATACTGATGTGTACAGCCATAAGAATATAAAACTATATATCTAGGATTCCAGTTTAACTATTTGATTATACAAACTCGGGATCCTCCTGCCTCAGCCTCTTAAGAGTGCTGAAATTACAGGCATGCATCATTATCCTTGACTTAAATACAGGGAAATTTTACAGAGCAATAAATTATCAGTACAGTACTATGGGCTTCCCATTAACTGAATTCTGTAGCCTCTGTTGCCATGCAGTTAATCTGGCTAAAAAAGTTGCTATCTTACATAGGAAGGATATCACAACAAAGAAAGAAAGAAAGAGAGAGAAAGAAAGAAAAGAGAAAGAAAGAAGAGTTGGGGGAAGGAGAGAGCAAGGGGGAAGGAGGAAGAGGGAAAGAGAAAGAGGCAGACAGCTACAATAGGTAAGGAGAAGAAAATGTCTGGGAGTCTTTCTTAAATTCAGTTAGTACATAGACCCTCAAAATATACCAGTAGCTGAAGGACCAGGTTAGAGAAAAAGTTTTGAGTAAAGGTCTTAGGTAAATGTTGACTCTAAACTCTTTTGAAAAGAGCTTCAAAAGTAAGGGACAGGGCTGGGGATTTAGCTCAGTGGTGCCACCACCTGCCTTGTATGCACAAGGTCCTGAGATCGATCCCCATTTCCCAAAAAACAATTGGGCTAATACCAAAAGGCACCCAGTGAGTAAAAGAGCTGTTCATCACTTTATTTGTAATAACCCTAAAACAAAACAACCGAAATGTCTGTCAAAGGAGAATGTATAAAGTATAGTACCTCCATAGAGTGGGATAAAACTAAGCAATAGAAAGGAATGGGTTATTTTTATGGTGCTAGCCATCAAACCAAGGGCCTTATGCATATCAAGCAAGAGCACTACTGCTGAACTATGTCAACATCCATAGGAATGAACTACCAATACACACCATAACATAGGGTGGTATTCAGACAGAAAAGAGTACTCACAAATTATATATATATGAAGTTTAAAAACAGGCAAAACTTTCCTTTTGAGACAAGGTCTTGCTATGTAGTCTAGGTTGGCCTCAAACTCACTGTGTAGCCCAGACTGGCCTTGAATTTACAGTGATCTTTCTGCCTCAGCCTCCTGAGTTCTGGGATTACAGGCCTGAGCTACCATGCCTGGTGGCAAAACTTACCTATAGCAATAAACAAAATGGTGGTTAATCTCAGGGATAGGGAGTAGAAAGTGGGTATGATGGATCCTTCTGGCATGCTTTACGTTTATTTCTGAGGTATTCTATGCCTTGGTCTGAGTTGTGGCTACAGGTATTTTTCACTAGTGCATATTAGTAATACAGAATAAAGAGATTCATTTTGGTATACCGGTACATGCATACAACATGTTTTGATTATTTTTATCCCCATTACTCCTCTCTCCTCTTCCCCTTATTCCTCCCTCCCCTGATCTCTCCCTCCCCTGATATCTTTCCTCATCCCCAAAAGTCTACCTTCTAGTTTCCTGTCTCTCTTGCATTGCTCATGCAAGGGAAAACAGGTGATATTTAACTAAGTCTGGTTTATTTGCTTAATATGATAGTCTCCAATACCATTTATCTTTCTGCAGATGACATGATTTTGTTCTTTACTACTGAACAATATTCCTTTGTGTATGTACACACACACATATGCCACATTTTCTTTATCCATTTACCTGTTCGTGGACATCCCTTAAAAATCTGCTACTCACATCTGCTGCCTTTTGTGCCTCTTTTGTCATACAAATTTATCAAATAGCACTGGAAATACCATCTATAAGTTAATTAGTATGGGCTTACATGTATACTTGCATCCAAGAAGGAGCTGAGGTGGCTTAAGTAGAAGTATTATTGCCTCAGAAACATAGGTGACCATGAAGCATCTCCATGGTGAGCCCAAGTCATTCTAAATGTTGTAGGAATAGAGGCACCCTACAGCAAATGGTCTTAGGCTTAGATGATTTCTTACCTCTGGAATCCACAGTGCACAGCTGACATGAACCCATTTAGTCCCTGTCCTGTTGGTCTTCATGGCTCCACCTTTCTTTGGACATAACAGACATTGTGGATGAATACCCAGGACACAGGAGCGACATAGCCAGCTGCCTTCTGGGACCTTTAGAATGCCATAGCAGGCCTAGAAGCATGAGAAGGAAAAGGAAGTATGGTCAGCATCCTTGCACTAGGGTCAATGCTTGTTCTGGTAAAGTCACAAAGCACCCCCTCGTTTTGGAAGAAAGGCATATAAAGCCAAACAAGTTTATATCTAATATCTGTAATTTTTTTAGGCCTGGAATGTTAAGTTTATTCACATTTTTCCAAACATATACAATATTACATATAAGCTAAAAACACATAGTTTTTAGAAAATATAATCCAATGCCCCCACTGTCTGAGCTCAGCCTTTGTTGTTCCAGAATTTTAATGAATATGTTGCTCAAAACAAGCGTGGAGTAATAGGACACCGCCCCTAAATAAATTCTGTTATTATAAAACAGTAATATTTGCAATTTAAAAATGCTTATAAAAGCAACTTCCAGCATGTGAACTAATATCAATCAGCACATGTGTCCATGAAAACTGATTTTTTTATAGTACAAGATTGGAAAGAGATACTCTCAAAGGCCAGCCTATTATCTGAGAGTTAGGATTACAGATGTTTTTCTTTTTTTGCCTATTTTTTAAAGCTCCTCCAATATTTATGGATTATAATTAGTTAGCCAAACACTTACCGTGCAACTTCTACATGTCATGTACTATTGTGACCAAAAAAGTGCTAAAAAATCAAAAGAAAACAAAACAATAAAAATAAAAAATAAAACCATTACAAACTGTGTTGCTATAAACATGGGTGCACATATATCACTGTGATATGATTCTTTTAATTCTTTTGGAAAGATACCCAGCAGAAGGATGGAACCTCCAGTCCAAGCTCTTTGAGGTATCTCCATATTGATTTCCATAGTGGCTGCACCAGTCTGCACTCCCACCAACAATGGAGAAGGGTTCCTTTCTCCCCACAACCCTGCCAACATTTGTTATTGGTTGATTTCTTGATAGCAGCCATTCTTTGTGGGGTGAGGTGGAATCTCAGTGTTTTCATGTGCATCTCTCGAATGACCAGTGATGTGGAATATTTTTTCATATATTTACTTGCTGCTTTTACTTCTTTGTCTGAGAAATGACTGTTTATTTCAGATGCCCATTTTTGAATCGGGTCTTTATATTTGGGGCAGGGGTCTATTCTCATTTCTCTATACTATTTGAGATTAAGCCTAGGGGACACTTAGCTCCTCATATGGCCTGGCACACCCTTTACTTTTGTCAGATTCAACATAGCAGCTTCAAAATCTCTGCAGGCCTCAGGAGTTTCACCTTCAGGTCAGATTAAGTTGTTACTGTTATCATCATATTTACTCCTTCCTCTGGAACCTACTCTTTTCCACTCCTTTCCATATGCTGTTATGTTTCCCATCTTCCAGACCAAATTCCTAGACTCACTTGCTTTTGTCCACTGGTCCTAGGGCTTGCCTTTCCTTCCTAGAGAGTGGCCCAGAGATTCTGACCACCTTCTCCATTCTCAACCCCATGACTGTGAACTATTTGATCTATTTCTAAATTTTCTTCCTCCCTCTTCACATCTTAACCCCTCCTCCATTCTGACTACCAGACCCTTCTCACCAACACAAAGACTTCATACCACTGCACAGCAGCACAACCCTCCAGGGACTTCTCTTGTTGTCAACTGCCCCCTACTCAGGTCTTTGCTCCTGCTTGAGGCCTGTTTTGTAAGGATAACAAGCTCAGAACGGTTTTTACATGTTTAAAAGTTTGTAAGAAGAAGAAAAAGAATATGTAATAGAGATAGCATGTGGTTGGCAAAGTCTGAAATATTTACTATGCGGCCCTTTATAGAAAAAGTTTGCTGGCCCTGACCTAAAGTCTGTGGCTCTTCCACCTATTTGTTCCCATGTTGTACCACGCCATACACAAATAGGGCTCCTAACTTGGACAGACAAGCCTTTTAGTTTTCTCCATAACCAGTCATTCTTAGTGTAGACCAGTGGTAGTAAACCTATGGCATGCGTGCCCCAGTGGGCTGTTTGTTAACACTGAAAGCTCTAACAGGTTTGCCATCCCTGGCTAGGTAGTTTCCCTGTGCCACAAGGTCAACTCCTCTTTGCACAGTCAAGACCTTTCTCATTCTTCCACACTTGGCTCAGACTCCAGGTCCTTCCAAGAACACCAGCTCCTTTGTCTACCCCATTACCTGACTTCCGCCCTCCATTCCAAGTTTACAGTCAGTACCATGTACTTTTTCTCCACTTCATGTGGCTCAGTGAGATTTCAAGGTCACTGAGAGTGGAGCTTTCACCAATTTACCTGGAATGCCCTCTAGGTCTAGTACATAGCTTGGTAGAACAAGTTAATTTAGTTCAGGAACCAGTGCTGGACTGCAACTAGGCTGCTTTCATGACTGCAGGGCATCATGTTATAAGGGTCCTAACTTTTGAAGTGCCCCTTTCTCTGAGGCTGAGAATGTTTGCCAGCAAGTTTTCTCCTGAAAAAAGAGCGGTTTTCTAACTGGTAGAAGAGAAGCCAGTGCCCTCTTCTAGGAATGCCCTTTATTTTCTGGTAATTTTACTGGGCAGAAAATCATTTACTGAGCCCTTTGTAGGCTTATGCATGAACATAAAATCATAAAATCTTGAATTTTACAGCAGTGGTTCTTAACTTTTTATGGAGCACAACATGGTGAAGATTGTGGATTCTCTTGAGAAAATAGCATACAGGCACTAGGGGGCTAATAAACTCAGTGTCAAGTATTATATTCATGACATATAAAAACTATGAGTATATATATTTAGGAAAATTAACTCCAAACTTAATCTGAATGTTTAATATTTGGGCTAAAAAGGAGAAAATGGGTACATGTAAAAGGACAGAATGGTCCTTGTTTTTAAAAGAAAAAATTAAGTTAAATGTTAAAATCTAAAGTTTACTGATAAACTTTTCTTCTGAAGTACTGACTATGAGCGTATTTTTGTTACTGAGGAACGAACACTATACATTATATGTTTAAAATATTCATTGTCAATTCGTTCACATTCTGTTAGGGAGTAAATCCAATCTTCCAAACCATTTTAGGTCATTTTTCAGCCAACAGAGGGAGCTCTAACCTAAGTAGCTCTTTAGGATGCAAGTGAACGTACTCACTTTGGAAGACTCTTACAGGAAACTGGATACGGCATCAATTTCCAGCTTTAATACACACAACTTTAGCCAACTGTTATTGCATCTCTTTCTATGTGAGGGAAGGGTATTATTTATAGTCATTACTGGACATGTTTTCAAAAGAAATGATATACCCATAGGGAGAATTATTATGCTACCTTGAATTTTACTAGTCAAAGAGCCTAATATTTTTTTTTTCGCAGTACTGGGGATCAAACTCAAGACCTTGTGCTTGTGAGGCAGGAGTGGTGCCACTGAGCTAAATCCCCAACCCTCTCCCTTAATATTTTGTCCCAACTGTAAAGAGAAGTATAAAACATACGACCCTTTGTCCTATTCAATTTAAGCTTACTGTAGATTCAAAATCATTTATCTAACATTCCTATAGTGAGAAACGGAAAATTCACAATTTTTCAGATCTTAGGAAAGTAATACATTACATACATGGTATGCTGCCTAACCCCCAGTGGGACCATGTAATTGGATATATTAATATTTCTCTCAAAAAATGAGTATTTACACAAAATTGAGACAGACTATAAATGATCTCATGTTGGGTAAAATTTAGTATCATCCCTAAATTTGATCACTTCTTGTAGGATAAGGGTAGGAGAGATCAAGAAAGGATTTGAACTAGAACTTGAAAGGTAGGTAGATTTTTGATAGCTGCAGGTGGGAGAAGACATTCTGAAATTGGGAGATGGTGAAAATATGTAGACAGGGCAGTAAAATTGGGAGATGGCTGGAATACGGAGACAGGGAAGTATCAGCCACACTGACCACTGCACCTCAAGTAACTTTATTTTGCTGGAGCACAGGGCTTATGGGAGGGGGAAGGAAAGAGTTGAAAGTAGTGTTGATACAATAAGCATCATCATTTTTTCAAGACAGGGTCTCACTATGTAGTTCAGGCTGGCCTTGAACTCATTATATAGCCCAGGCTGGCCTCAGACTCAAGGAGATCCTCCCGCCTCAGCCTCTTGAGTGCTGGGATTATAGGTGTGTGCCATCATGCCTGGCAGAATCATCATCATAATTAAAGGTCAGGATGCTATATGGAATGACAAATATCTAGCTTAGGTAAAGTTACTTAACCTCTCCTGTATTGTGTAAAACTAAGGAGATAGGCAGTCATTGTAAGACCTCAAATTCTGTGATCTCTCAAAGTGGGGTGGACTTAGTTTCCTGGGAGTGATATATTTGGGGAAACAGAGGGCTCTAAGTACCAAGATAAAGAGTCTGGCCTTCTATCTGTCCATGAGTGTTACCTGATGATCTCATAGGGATTCTAAGGCAGAGGAGAGACTCCCAGGCAGGCAGCATGGGGACCTCCGGAGTGGAATTGAACAAGGCACTCATAATTGTATAGGCATGAAGTGACATAATAAAGACCTTGGTTTAGCCCCCTGCGGTGACATTAATAGGTAACACATCTTGAGGACCATAAGTAGTTTCTACAGGAAATACTGAAGAACATCCAGCCAAATTTTTGCTTTTACCCTTAAACACAAGGTGCTACCCACATATAGGTATGGCAGATTATCACTGAACTTCAAAAAGTCTAATTGTGGAGACATAGCAGTCTCCACTCTCACTAACCTGATGCACACAGACGTTACACTTATCACAGAATACCATATCATTCCCTTCTTCACTGTCTGGAGAACGGCACACATCACAGATCACATCTTCATCATACTCTATGCCTAGCCCTTCCTCTGTCTCAATAGCATGGTTCATATTTTCATGGCAACGATGTTCCAGGACTTCTATTGTTTTTTCCATAATGGTCTCATCAACTGGCCCATGACCTGCACAGAAATACAATCAATCAAACCATCAGTAAGCAGCTGTTATTCCAAAATCGCCTACTGTGAATACAGTGCAGGCATGGGTGGGATTCTAAAGGATAAAATCATATTGTCTCTGCTCTAAAACAGTAAGATTTCAAACAATCTTGTGCTAGAGCTACTCTAACATTCACCTATAATAATAATGTTTGACACATGAAAGAAGAGAATATATTTCACCACATTCCTTAGATTACTGATCCTTTCCATTTTCTGTCTAAATCATTGTACATCTCCTAGATCTCTCTAGATTTTCTCTTATTCCCACTGTAGAACTTTTATCAAGCTTCATAATTTTGAACACTGATTTGTACTGTAATAAAATAACTAAAGGGGAAAAATGAGAATCAAGACCTATTATGTAAAGGTACAGAATCCCAATGATGAATGTAATTGTATTGTATACCTAGATTGTACCAATAACCTCAATAAAAAGAAAAAAAATAACTAAATAAAATAACTATTTGGATATAATTTTCTTAGAAAATTAGATTCAATAAGTTAATGGTTATACAAGGAAATTTTCATACAAAAACGTATTAAGCCATAAAAGAAAAGTTCTAGGTACTATGCACACATGAATATATAAATGAAAGACTGGTTTTAAAATCTTACTTTAAAAAATTCAAAGCTGGGCTGGGGATTTAGCTCAGTGGTGCCACTGCCTGCTTCGAAAGCACAAGGTCGTGAGTTCAATCCCCACCCCATACCAAAAAACAAAACAAAACAAAACACACACACACAGCTATTTTCAATGGCAAACAATTATAAACCTTTTTTTTTTTTCTGCACCGGGGATCAAACTCAGGTCTTTGTGCTTGTGAGGCAGGCGGCAGAACCACTGAGCTAAATCCCCGGCCCAATTATAAACCTATCAGCATTCACAAAGGTCTAACAAGGCAATTCTGAAATTACCTTCTTGATTTTTTTGAGACAGGGTCCTGCTAAGTCACTAAATTGCCTAGGCTAGGCTTGAATTTTGGATCCTCCTGCCTCAGCCTCCCGAAGTGCTGGGATTACAGGCATATGCCACCATGCTCGGCTACCTTTTTGATTCTTGATTCCTTTTTCCTTCTATACTTTTATTTTCTATCTTTCCACACTTCACTTAACCAAAAGATCCATATGGCAACGATGGTAACAAATGAACATTTTTCTTAGGAGGACTAGTGCTTTTGTGAGAGCATGGATATATTTATTCTAATACTTGTCTAGAATGCCTCTCAAAATGCTTCAAAACAGATTTATCTACATATTCCACTTCATTTGTAATATAAGACGTCCTAAAGAACTTTGGAATTCTGCATAACCATTGTAAGGTAGCTACTTATGAAAACAAACATTAATGTAGGCTCTATATTTCATTTTTCAAGCCAAAGATGGACAAATATTGGCTATAAGAGAAAGTGGATTCAAATTCCAACTTCATCTCAAATTAGCTATGTAAACTTTGCTAAGTTATTTATCCTTGTCAGAACTTAGTGTTCTAAACTATAAAATAAAAATAATACTAAATTCACTGATTTGTAATAAGGATGAGATAATCTTTGTACACTACTTAGTATGGTGCCTAGTATAAGTGCTCACATTTCCTTAATCAGAACAAAAAATGCTTAATTTTTTAAAGCTTTTAGAAGTGTAACTATAATATTATCTACCCTGAAGAAAATCCTGAAATAAGGCAAATATCTTTTAAAAACTTTTCCAGGGCAAGGGATTTAGCTCAGTGGTGCCACACCTGCCTCACAAGCACAAGGTCCTGGGTTCAATCCCTGGTACCAAAAACAAAAACAAAAACAAAACACACACACAAAAAAACCTCTTCCAATGCAATGTGGTATCCTAGAACAAAAAAAGGTCATTAGTGGAAATAACTGTGAAATACCAAAAAAGTCTAGTTTATTTAACTGTGTTAGTTTCTTATTTTTACACTTGATCTTAGCAAAACGGCCGAGAAGCGATAGTTTCTTATTTTTGACAAACATATTATGGCCAAGTAAGATGTTAATATTAGGGGAACTAATAATGGGTGAAGTGCATATGTGAGCTCTGTTCTGAATGTGCAACTTTTTTATAAATTAAACTATTCCAAAATAAAAAAAGTCTGCTTGAAAAGGAAATAATTCCAATGGGAATTAATTGCAAAATATCAAAGGTACCTTATACTTGTAATGTGGTTTCATGCCAAAGGCGATGTTTTGATTATAATATTTACAGATGCTATATGCTTCATATGCACAACTGCATACAGGACCATCAGTCCATTTGAATATGTCCCCATAGTATGATTTTTTGTCAGTCTTTTATTCATTTATCTTTGGGGTTCTGACCTTAAATTGACATCCTCTCTCACCTTTGAGGACTGAGGACGACATACAAAAGTTTTAAAAAGCAAGGAACAAGGATTGGTCACTGGCAAGATAACTACAATTGCCATGCCAACCTGGATTTAATATAATTTTATTTTTTTCATGTGCATTCAGACACCAGCCTCAAAATAAAGAAAAAGGGGGGGCAAGGAAAATCATCTATCCTTATACTGAGAATGAACAAATGTGATTTAAATAAAAATGAAATCATATGGAGACTTAAAAATTATCCACAGTTCCATAGAAAAACTTGACCAAAATGCTAGACTGAAAACAAGTGAATAAGATCTGTATGAAAGTATAAAATGAGTTACCTTTGAGCTTAGCATTTCCCAGCACTGCTGGTAACATTTACTTTAAAATTATTATGCTTACTTCCAAGGTTTTTGTTGCCTTGGTTTTGTTTCATTTTATTTTCTGAAAATTATATGACAATTTTAGAACTCACTGGTAGCTAAGAATTGCTCTGGGAATGATTTTCTCTGGGTCTTCCATTTTCCTTCCAGGCAGCAAAATTAGAAATCTTGCATTAAGGAGCACTGGTTACAGCAACCTGTCAGATGCAGTGGTGCTTCCCAATGCTGAAGCTGGAGCTTCTCTTCAACCTCCTGACAGATACACCTGTATCCCTGGCCCTGCTCACTGATCAGAGTGATTTTTGGGGCTGAGCCAGCAACAGTCTTTAGAATCAATATTGAGAAGCAACCTCACAAAACCTACATGGCATCCCTGATCTGTGCTACTAGCCTTGAATGAGGAGAGAACAGATCAAATATGAATGTTATTGTTCTATTTCAATATATTTATGCATTTGAAGAAATATCTCATAAAGATCTAAGAGAACAATAAATGAAAAGTCCAGAAAAGAAAGGAAGGCAACAAGGTGAAAAAAGCCAAGTTTTAAAATGTCCTAACAACTTAAAAAATTCGTGAGTTGCATCAAAGCACAACTCACTTGTGAGAAAACAACTTACCCATTTCTGTGAGGTCTTCATTAAACTCCTGAAGCCAGAAGATATCCATGTCATCTAGGTCATAGCGGCATGTGGATGCTGCCAGTTCCTGGATATTAATGTAGCCAGGCTCTGTGGTCTCTGGACTGGAGCAACGTATGTATTTTCGGGGTCGGACAAAGAGAACTTCCTTTTCCTTTTCGGCTATAATCCTAGAAAAGCAAGAGAAAACATGATAATGATTAACAAATGGCAGGGTCCAAGCATGGACTGGAAGGGTCCAATAGGACTCAAGTCATATAGTAGAACTAGATGTTCTCTCTTTATATCCTGGGTACATGTCTTGCTTTGCTTCTTGAGAAGTGTGGCAGAACCCCTTCTAGAAAGCAAATTGTTCTGCAAATTCAGTTTTGTTACCTGTTATGAGCTCACTGATTGTAAACAATGTTTCATTCACCCTCATGGATCCTGGGACCTGTTGCTACAGTACTGTGTGCTCTTGGCTCAGAGGTCTCCAAGTACATTTAGGAAACCTAGGAAAAAGTGATACCTGCACAAAAGGCACAGTCAGTTCCTGTACCAAAGATATATTTTAGCAAAATTCATGATTTTCTGCCATGGAGACAATACTAGATTGTGGGAACAGAGTGCAGGCCTTAAGTCTCACACATGCCTGTTTTCTTTTCTATCACTCACTTGTATGATAATCCTAGGTAGTAAAAATGATTGTTTAGATAAAAGGTAGGGGGATACCTGGGTATGGTGGCACATGCACCATGGGAAACTGAGGCAGAAGGATGAAAAATTCAGGCTCAGCCTGAGCAATTTAGCAATGTAGTAAGACTTGTCTCAAAGTAAAAAATAAAAAGAGCTGGGTAGATGTAGCTCAGTGTGAAGGCCCTGAGTTTAATCCCTAGTGCAGCAAAAATAAAACAAAAAAACATAGATAACAAAAAATAAAATAAAAGCAAACATGACTACTGATGATATATGAAATAGTTTTTGGTATAGTGAACACTAAAAAACAGATGTGTGATAATGTCAGTGAGTATTGTACTTTTTTTTTTTTTTTGGTACTGGGAATTGAACTCAGGACCTTGAGCTTGCCAGGCAGGTGTGGCGCTGCTGAGCTACATCCATGGCTCAAGTACTGTATTGCTTACTATTTGCATAAAGCAGTTAAATTAAAGCTAAGAGGCTACAGTTATACAAACTCAAGGCATTTCTCAACCATAAATGAGCCAGGATAACATAATGGGATGAAAGATTCCTACCTTTGTATCAACTTCTCCAGCAGGCCTGAGTAATTCTATAGTTCCTCTTACACTGTTTTTGACACCCAAGAACCCAAGGTAAGGAGACAAAGCAAGAGAAGAACTAGAAGTTTTTTGTGCCAACAACTTATTGTTCTATAATTGATGGTTTAAATACCACAGGAGGTATCAGAATATATAACCAAGGAGGATATATGCACTATTATTCCCTGGCAAGTGTAAAGAGCAGGGTGGATTATCTAAATAAAGAGGAAGAAACAAGACACACACACACATCATCATCATCATAAAATGAGGAAAATAATTTTTCTTGAAGATTTCTGTAGCTGGTTTCTTTACCCTAAAGTCATTGTTTATGTAGAATTGTTCATAAACTCTTCTACATGTATTTCTACGAATTCATGTAAAAAAATATATATAGAGAGAGGCATAATCAACCCTATAGAGAGTAGAGATTTCCTTCTATGAATCCTTTAAAAAACCCATGATTCCAAATAATATATCCTGAATAAAGTTAATAACTATACATTTATAATTTTTTTACCATATGCATTTTTTCAAAAAAGCTAAAGGTAACAAATATTTGAAGAAAATGTAGAATCTTGAAATATTAATGGAAGCTAAAATTTTGCTTCCATTAATATGCTGGCAGGGCTGGGGATTTGGCTTAGTTGTGCTGCACATGCTTTGAAAGCACAAAGTCCTGAGTTTGATCTCTGGTACCGGAAAAAAAAATGCCATCAAAGTCTTGTTTCCAAATAAAATGAACCCAACTGAAAAGGACACAACACATACATGAATTATCCAGACTATGAGACTAAATATGTTGTACTTCTTTCGTGTATGGCCTATAAGGTAAATATATCTTTTTTTTTTCAAGATATACTTTTCTGGGCCAGGGATATACTTCCGCCACCTGCCTTGTAAGCACAAGGTCCTGAGTTCAAACCCCAGTAACCCCCTGCAAAGTTACACTTTTCTCTAAAAAGACTTTATAGCTAAAAATTTATTTCAATTGCCTCAAGCTGCACATGGCACAAGGTAATGCTATAAAAGTTTCTGAATTAATGTTTAATAAACTTCAGGAAGAACATAAAGGAGAAAATATTTATACCCATGGGATAGGGAGAGACATATAAAATAAAACACAAATGCTATTAACCATAAAGGATGAGACTGAAAAAGTAAACTAGAACGTCTGATTATCAAACGACAAAAATATGACTGAAAAGGCAATCTAAGGAACAGATCTATTGCAATTACGTACAATGTACGGTAAATTCTTAAATCAAGTGGAGAAAGAACCCAATTAAAAACTGAGCAGAAGACTTAAGTAGACATTTCACAGATAAGGCTATTTATATGACAATTTTTTTTTTTTTTTAGTTCCTGGAGGCTCAACTCAAGGCCTTTGCCCTAAGCTACATCTCTATCCTCTTTTTACTTTTTATTCTGAGTCAGGGTCTCAGTGTCACAAAATTGCCTGAGGTGTGCTTGAACTGCCTCAATGTCCTACACTGCCACTACTGCAAGTGTATTCCACCATACCTGATGGCAAATAATCTTTAAAAGCCTCCCAACCTTATGAGTTATTACAGAAATTAAGGTCACAATTGCTGTTATCTACCAGAATGGATAAACTTTAAAAAGACTGATCTAAAATTGACAATACTAAGTGTCAGTAAGGAAGTGGAGCAAACAGATTTCTCATACAATGCTGGTGGGAGTATAAACTTTGGCAACAGATATTACAATTACAGGGCAGTGGTGGTGAACCTATGGCATGCATGCTGCAGCAGGCTGTTATCACTGAAAGTTCTAAATGGTTTGTCATCACTATTATAGGGTATGGACAAACCTTATAACCTAGCAAATCCACTCCTCGGTACATGCTTAACAAAAATGTACAAACACACACACACACACAGCAAAAGATGAAAATGTTCATATCATTTTTTCCTAATAGCTTAAAACTGGAAACCTAGTATCTGTTGAGAGTAGAATGGATAAATTGTGGCATATTCAAACAATTACGACACAATTGAAAATGAACAAACTACTACATGGAACAGCATGGATGGCTCTCACAACTATAATGATGAACTAAATGATCCAGTCTCGAATACAAACTATAGGATTCTATTTATATGAAGTTCAAAAACTGGCAAAATTATTACCTGGGGTGAGGGAGGTCAGTTATTAGCAGGGAGCAGAAAAAGGGCTTTGGTGGCCAGAGTTTTGGCAATGTTCTATTTCTTGATCCAGGTGGCAGTTAAATGAATATGTTTAGCTCATAAAAATTCACTGAGCTACAGAGTTATGCTTTGTGTACTTTTTGTGTGTATATTATGCTTCAATGCATAGTTTACAGTGATGATTATAATGGTAATCTCTCTCTTGTTTTCAGATATATTTGCATTAAAAGTTTGAAATCTAAGGACTAAATCTAGGATAATAAAAATTTGACAAAACAGTAATATCAAGTGCAAGAAAATGTGTAAAATGTAAAGGTAATGCAAACTCACAAAGGGAAATTAGTACATTTATAGTGATAAGGGTGGTATATGAAAATTAGTGAAAAATATTATTTTGGGATTAAAAATATAGCTTTAACATCTTCAAGTATATATAATACTGCTATAGCTGGAGGAAATCTTAGCGTTATTTCCGGGTAATTTTCTTTTTCATCATTTTACTAGCTATAGAGAAACTCTCTGAGCCACCATCAGACCACTGACCAAACTAGCAAAAGCTCACAAGCCCAGAGGTCTAAGTAATTTGGTCAGGATGAGATAAGTCTAGCTTTCAGTCTGGATGCTTGAGTGTAAATAAATGCAGTATTTTCTGGATGACTAGTTTTTCATGGAAAGATCCATAATCACCCCTGCTTAGCTTCATAGAAAGGCAGCTTATTCAGCTGTCCTTTAGGGTACGCCAGAGTGGCTGGAACACCACTACCTCTGGCCCATATGGATACTGCTGAGCTGCTGGAGAGACAATAAAAAAGTTAACTGTCACACCCGTAAATTGACTTAAGGCTTCTTCCAGTCTTATGCATAGTGACACCTCAGTATCTCTTCAACTAATCTGAATATTTGGCAGGTAGACCTTATGCTGTATGCATTTCCTAATGAGTGAAATAATTTGTGAACTGCATAGAACTACATAAACAAACACAACATTGTCATTTTTTTCAGCATTAGAGATTGAACTCAGAGAGCAGTGAGCTACATATGCAACCCTATTATTTATTTTATCTTGAGACAGGTTCTAAGCTGCTCACATTACAGATTTTTGAAGGCTTGAAATAAGTGTCTTAAAAATGAACTAGATAGCAACCTCTTGTAAAGCTATCTTTAGGAGTAGTTTCCTAAAATGCCCCTCTAGGGTGACTACTCCTAAGTCCCATGACTCAATTTATGAAACAAAGGATAAGTATAACCTCTGTGACAGATGGCAGTTTCCAAATCCCACAAGCTCTTCTACAATGTGACTTTGCCATTCCTTCATCAAGTGGTGAAGTCTCTTTCCTCTCTCTTTGAATAGAGGAGGGCTTGTGACAGTTTTGACCAATAGATGTGATATTATGAGAATTGCAAGGCTGGGTCATAAAACAGAATGCAGCTTTCACTTGCTGTGCAGGAAGGAACACACGTCAAGTACTTGACGCCTGTGCCTGAAGACTGTTAGGAGTCTGACTCTCCTAGCATTTGTCAGGCTATGAGGAAAGCAAACCATGTGGAGAGGCTATGTAGTTTTTATGTCATTCCATACCAGAGATGGGCTGTTAGAAACATTAATGAGTAAGCCTTCATATGATTCTATCCCCAAATTGCTGGGTCTCCCCCAAAACTTCAAGTCGTCTCAGATAAGGCCCTAGAAATCATGAAGCAGAGACAAGACATCCCTGTTGTATCCTGATTTTCTGACCCACAGAA